ACCTCTTTCCAGCCATATATAGTAAATAATATGCTTTATTTGGCTTCACTTAAATATTATCAATATCTTGAGACCACTTTTGCTAAAAAAAGTTGCCGCGGATACATTTTTTAAAAAGTAGCTTTTGAAGGTAAGATTTCCTAAGTATTAAAACGTCTAATTTGTATGAAAATTTCCATATAGATTAAAAAAAGAATGAGGAATCGAATGGAAAGGGGAACCTTTTTCAAATTTATACACAAATTTTTAGTTCTTAACGTTTAAAAACTTTAAGGTCAGTTTAGTTAAAAAAAAAACTTTTTTTAAAAAGGTTCCTTGTCCAAAAAGCAAGTATAGTCCTTCTTCTCTCTAAATCAAGTATTTATTTATGTATTCTTGAAGATTTGATGCTTAGGAATTTTGTTTTAAAGTTATGTAAGCATAATATGCTTTTTTTTCCCGCGTATTTAATGAAGTCTTTTATGAACAAACAAAAATGATGAAAAGAACAAAGCTTTTTATACCATTTAAAGCAATTATATATTATTTTCATAAAAAGAACCGTCCTATTTAGCTAATATTTAAGTAAATAAGAAATAATTTAAGGATGTGAATAAGAAATAATCCTTAATAAGGCTTAATAAGGATTATTTCTTATTAGGATTTAATTTATGGATGCGAATAATAGTTTAAGGATGGTAATAAGAAATAATCCTTATTAAGGATTTGAATAAGAAGTTTTTTTATATTGAATAACAAAAAAATATAATGGAAAGAACAAAATTTTTTGATAATGTTTAATAAGGAAATATAAGGATTAATTTAAGGATGTGAATAATTAATTTAAGGACCTTCAATTAATTATTCACATTTTTAGATTAATCCTTACATATAGCCTTATTAATCCTTATTAAGGCTTAAGGATTAATAAGGATATATAAGGATAATACCAATAAATTTCACCTTCAATTTAATAATTAGAATTCGAATAAGGACCTTATTCAAATTCTAAATATAAAATTAAAATTGAAATTCTTAAAATGTTAATAAACTAAAAATAAATAATCTAAATTTTTTAGATGCATTCGCTGGATTGGACTCTGAATTGTTTATCAAAACTTTAAGTTCGGTTATAGGCTACAATCTATCTATTTCAATAGACTATTATGATTACAGATTGGCCTTCTTTAAACTGTTTTTTTTTCAAAACAAAAAACGAAAAATCATATCAACTTTAAAAGGTTCAAAAGTGACCAAAAATGGAATTGTGTAAGAACTTATATCTTAATTAATTAGGCCTACTTCCCTAAATTTTTAACATAACCACAAATACTTTTATTTATTGAAAGCAAATTTTATTGATCCATCTCTTGTTTTCTTTGTTTTGAGTTACTTTAGTTTAGTTTTACTTTTAATTTTAGCTTCCAAATTATTTCTGGAAAAACCATTTGATACTGCCAAGAATATATTAGAATTTTTAAATATTAGAAGTATAGAAGTTTAAGTAACAGAGCTTGAAAAAACATCATTAGCAGTTTTCAAGTTTAAATTAGAAAATAAACTTTTAGAAGCAAAAACATCTTCTTGAACATATTTTAGGAATAGAACAATTAACAAAAGGTAGTAAATCATCAACATTGTTAAATCATCATTTGACTTTTTATTTTAACTATCTGTATTTCCAACAAGGCTAGAAGCACCTGCTTTTAGAGTTAGTAGTTACTGGTAGAAGGTGAAGATTCTAAGGATTAAAAGATGACAATATAGATTACAAATTATATGAATCAGCAAAACAAGATGAATGAAAAGTATTAAAAAAAAACTGTTATTTATTTTATTATTATATTGTCGTATGCAATTGTATACACGTTATTTATTTTATTATTATATACAAAAACTAACTTAGCAATGATTGGTATATAAGGTTTCCATGAGAGGTCAGTACAAAATGATAATCAGAGACGATGTAAAGTAGAAGACAGTAAAAAGGTTGCCATTCATCAATATTGAAATATCAACAAGATTGCAAAGACTTTTTAAAAGCTTCGCCATATACACCATATCATCCAGGGCAATAGAATGTGCCTTACGGCCTCTATCTAATTATAGTTTCAAACCTTTCTGACAGTTTACAGGTCAGCTCCAAATCGAGATGATTCAAATCCATATGTTTCTTATGTCATCGACAAATACTGTAAACTTTTCAGGATGATCATTAATGTTGCTTTTTACCTGTGAGCTTTTCAGGATGATCATTAATGTTAATTAGAAACGGTAAAGGACTGAGGATAGAAGTTTTTTTTCTAGATTGACACTACATTAATTAGCAGTGTTTAGTGCCACAGCAACATTATTTGTTTTAACGTTGTTTTTGTTTTTTTTATCTTAAATGTTGAAAAAAGTTCATTAACAAACATTCTCAAAGAGTAAGTTTTTTATTTTAAATTTATTTAGTTTTAATTGTTAATTTATAATTTTTTTTCAATTTTTGATTTTTTAAATTAATAAACAAATAATTTTTAAAAATTATTGTGTATCTGCATTTTTAATAATAATTTTATAACAATTTTTGGTAGAGTTTCAACTGTTACACCTGCTGTTGCTGATGTAAGTACTCAAAATTTCAGGAAGCTCTATTACTGTAAGTAATTTTCTTTCAAATTTAAATTATAACTTTATTTTTTCTGTCTGTTAAATAGGTAATTCTGAATGTTTCAGATAGATTTCGATGTCCTTACACAGTAATTTACTAATCGGTCTGTAAATTAAGCAATAGTTTTAAACAGATGAATTAAATTGATTCTATGATCCTATATGCATATTTGTATAGATTTTTTATAATATAACTCGAAATTTTATTCTTCAAGACTAGCTGTATAAATAAAAACACTTCAGTCTGTAAAATTAACAATTCTAGATAATCCCGAGAAATGTAAAAAAAATGATAGTTTTTAATTTTTTTATAGTTTTGTATCCCTATAAAAAATTTCAAGTCAAATGTAATAACAGTTGAAAATTATGAAATCTATTCAAAGTCAAACTTGCCCAATTGTGCAACCTTTTTGCGGTAATTTACTGACCTGTCTATAAGTTGTGCAATACTCTCAAAATGATATATTTTTCAGTTTCCATTATTCATTTATGCATATTTGTAACCCTAATTTTTGTTTTTCATTACATAGTTAAAGTAGTAGAAACCTTTTAGTCTGTAAAATAAACAATTCTGGATAATCCCAACAGATTTAATAAAAAATGGATCACTATTTAAAATTTCAAATCAAATATAATTACTGTTCAAAAATATCACAAGTTTTAAAAAAATATCACAAATCTGAAAAATTTTGCTTTTATTTTATCTGCATTGCATTGAGCCTCTTTAGGTAAAAGTAATTTCTGCAATGATGATTTATATGGTTTCCTTATCAACCCATTTTTAAATAATGCAAGAGGTGTGGTAGTCAACTCATAACTAAAATAGTGTTCAACATTTTCATCACTTAAAGCAATTGCAACAAGACTTGTTGCAATTGCTTTAAAAGATAAAAATGTTGAACACTATTTTAGTTATGAGTTGACTACCACGCCTTCCTTCAGTTATATTACATCCTTTTATTTATGCATTCAGTGGTTTTATTCGGTCTTGATATCTGAATTAAGCTTTGGGGATAACTAAGTTGTCTAACTTGTTATAAATCATCAATCCTATTTCCTCAGATTTTTTACAATATGTATCATCATTTTCAATGATGTAGGCAAGACCTATAATAAAGAATACAAGTTTGAGTCTTAATATATAAATGGATTTTGTCTCCTTAATCATTTTACAAATTTTTTGCAGTTTAAAAAATCCCTTGCACATTTTGCTAACCCCGTGCAACTTTTTAGATGTCTAATTACTGTTTTTCTCCATGCTCAACTTCTTTCTAAACAACGTATAATTTTTTTTAATTGATAAAGTTGTTAGTTTAATAACTGAGCTTCTTTTTTTGTTATCATTTTTTTTCGCAAATAAAACAATCTTTTTTTCCGTTCAAAGAATTCCAAGAAAAAAACATGAAACTGAAGGTCATAACAATTTATTTCTATGATCTTGAAGTACGGAGTTAAATCTTCTATTTCCCTTGTTTTTGCAGGACTTTATTATTGTTTTTAATCTTTTTAACTTGACAATGACATGTGACTCTTTACTCAGTGTTTCGTCAATAAACAGTTCTTTGCATATTGAACACTTTTTTTTGACGGAATATTTTAGCCATCTAAAAATAAATCAATTTATTTGCATCTACAAAAATGCAGTATACCAAATATATGACTTTAGAGTAATCGTTATCAGAAGAAAGATATAACAATAGTGATCATGTAAACGAAAACCATGTTTATAACTATTATATTAGTAGATTAATAAATCTACTATTAAAAATTTTAATTTAATTTAATAGTAAAAATAAAGTTTTCAATAAGAATAAAAGAAATTCAAAATAAGTAAAATAAATTACTTTTTTAGTTTTTCTACCATTTCTTTAAAAAATTAGGCTTACACCTCAAATAAACAAAAAATACTAAAACATCATATAACTTTTTACTATTATTTAGAATTGTTTATTAAATGTTTAATAAAAATATAAACCTTTACAACATTTAAGATTAACTTAGCATGTAATACTAATTTTTAATCCCTATTAAAAATTAGCATTACGATTAAAAATTAGTATAACATTAGCATATTATCGTTTTTAATCCCAATGGGTACTGAATCTATAAAACTTTGAATTAATGTTTGCGTAAAAACGAGTTTTGAACAAACTATAGTTTGTTCAAAACTTGTTTTGAACACGAATTTTACTAGCTTGCTATCTTACAGAATATGGCATCTACACATAGTTCTATAAATTGCTCTTATAGACATTTTTTTTTTTTTTTATTTTACTTCACCTCCTCAAGGCCGAGAAGGCCACTACAGACGAGGAGGCTACTTATTTTGTGGCTATAACCCTCTATAACTCCAAAACACGAACCTTGACGAACAAGGCCGCTGCGGGGAGAAACGAGTTGAGTGCAGTACTACCAGGGACGTGGTGGGGATCGAATTCGGAACCACTCGTTTATGAAGCGAGCGCTCTACCACTACACCACTACCGCATATCGATGAATATAACGAGACTGATAATAAAAGTGATGAAGAATGCAAAACTTTGGATGAAGTAGCCCAACTTAGCCCAGAGCCTATTGAAACTAGTGTCAGTGATGCCAATGACAATGCTAAAGAAGATGTCAGTGATGATTTAAGTAACATTTGTGCCACTCAAAAATTAGAAATAACAAGCATGACAAGAGAACTTTTTATCGCCTCAATTGCACTTCATGCAATTCTGTTCGTGATTTCAGGAGTGATTAAATTGTTTCAGGCATTCAAAACCTTCTTTAGTATTTAAATAGTATGTTTAGCTATGGAGAAAATATTAGATTTATAAATTTCGTACATGTAGAAAATGTTATATTACAAAATTAGACTGGTTTTGACTTTCATTTTTTTAAGTAGTATGCTATATTTACTCTGAATTATTTGAGTCTTATGAGAATTATTATGGCTTTCATACTCAAACCACTGCGTGTGTTAATGGTTTTAATGCAAACAAATGGTTTTAATGCAAACAAAAAAATGAAACAATGACCTTATTTTTATCTTTATATTTTTCATGTTGTTATTAAATATAGGTATATAATGTAATCAATCAATATCAAATAAATGATTACAAATTGATATAATAAAAGTTAATTTGTTATTGATTTAATATTCAATAACAAATTGACATAATAAATGTCTATTTGTTATTGATTGATTACATTTTAGGTGTTTGATTTTTTCAAAGCATATTATAAGAGAAAGTGTAGCTATATGGTAGGGAGAAATACTTAAATATTTTTCTAGCAGGAAATAGATAGCATGTCTGCCATAATCTAAACACGAGGACAATTTCTCATATATATTAATAAAAATCATATTTTTATTTGCTTGATTAACTCGTAAGATGCATTTAAATATTTGATAAACATATAGCATATATTTATATTCATTTTTTTAGATAGCATTCTTTATTGAAAATATTCCTACATCCTGGAAGTCTATTACAAGTTTTATTCATAAAAATATGTATGATTATTCCTCAATTTTGATCTACCAATACCTACAGAACCTAACAGTACAGATGGGTTTGTAGTGTTTAATCTACATATGCAGTTAGTTCTAATTTTAAGTGTTTATAAGCCTATGATTATTCAATATCGACATGAACTAGTTGGTGCTGGAGATGTTAAAAGTTTGGCTCCTACATTAACATCTGATATTTTACACTTGCATTTACTTTTTTCTGCAGATGGTGCAAACCCTTATTTTAAAAAGAAATCATCATTTTGGCCATTGCAGGCAACTCTACTTGACTTGCCAAGCAATATTAGGTCTTGTATAGAAAATTCTTTATTTTTAGTCATTTGCAGATGCACTGGTAAACCTAATTGGGATTCTTTGATTCCCTCTTTTTTTGAAAAATTTTGATTTAGACAAGAAATTGTTTTTCTATCTGGGTTGACTGTGATCATCTATCCCTATGCGGCTGTATTTGATTTACCTGCTCAAGCACATTTTTTGAATGTTATGCAGTTCGATAGAGAGTTTGGATACCTGTTTTGTAAACATCCTGGAAGGTGCATCGAATCTGGTCAAAGCCAAGCACAAGTGTACCAATATGAGTCTGCGGTTATTATTACATCAATTGAGTTTAGTAGTGTTGCATTAGCAAGTAGATCAAACTCTTTAAGACAGGTTAAAAAACCTATTTTTGGAAATAAAGGCCAGTGCTCACTGACAGATTATATTTTAGTGCCAGATAATATTTTAATAGATGATATGCATTTGTTGTATGAAAATATAACTTCAACTTTACTCAGCTCATTTTTTGACAACAAATATCGTACTAAATCCTTTTTTTTTAAGTCGCAGAATTACATTTTTAAAACATGCTTAAATAATACATACATTTTTAAAACATGCTTGCAAATATATCATTACCACATAATTTTACAAGGTCTCTCTTACGGTAGAGACCTTTAACTGATTTGAAAATGTGAAAAGCACATGACTTCAAACATATGCTTGCTTATTATTCTGTTCCCTTACTTTTATTTCATTTGCGTCAAGGTCATTGCATTCATTTTATGTCTCTAATTATGTCATGTCATTTGCTGACAAAATAAATTATCGGAATTTGATCGATAAGTTGGAAACCTGTGTTCAGTATTTTTATTCGCATCTGAGTGTTTTGTATCCTTCTAATTTTGCCACAATAAGTGGACACTTATTATCACATATTCCTAGGCAAGTTTCTAAGTGTTTAGTTTTGAGTCAAAAAATCATTTAATGAAAACTTATATGAAAGGTACTAAAGGTCACTTGTCGCAAGTTTGTTCAAAGATTGCATTGTAAAATCAATATCAACCTACATAAAAAATAATTGCTATACCTCAAAAAAAGTTTGAGAGAAAAAAGGGGGGACAGCTCTATGCTTAACGCTCAAAACATGGCCTAAAACTACCGATTTGTTAGTTAGGTATTTGTTTTCTATAATATTCCTATTAAATGAACAATAATTACATAAAAGGGGGCATTATTTAAATGTAGCTTGTTACTTCTAAAAGTGTATCTCCTGTCATCAATGTCTCTAAAATCTTCTAGCCAATCATCTGCTGATACTGATGAAGATCGAGATTGGGGCTTATCTGCAGACTCCTGTATGTTAAAATTTTCTAGTTTCATTTTCTTAAAGTATTTTCTTTTTAAATACATCTATAATTGCGTTAATAGTTCATTATTTAATTTTAGTAGCTAGAGTCAATAAAGAAAATTCACTTTTTGGAGATTTAGAAATGCAGTTTGGTTTAGCCACAGGTATGTTATTAATTCCTAGAGTATATTTTGCATAACTTTTAACTATCTATCTTCTATTTTATCTATCTTATCAAATAATTGTTTTTTGTAGAATCTACACCTGCCAAGAAAAGGAACTTTGATGCTGAAGATGTCATTCTAAAAAGTTAGGTTAAGCATATATAATGTATATATGTATTGGTAGATTAGAATTATTCTGCAATTTCAGAACAGCAGAATATAACTGAATTTTTGATAGTTTTACAGATTATTGTTATTAATTTATTATTTTCATTTATTTAAATTAAAAGTTGTACAAGATATATACAAATTATGACTAACTGATTTGAACTTATCGAACACATTATATCTCACTTAACTTGGTAAAAGACATTGCATAGTTTAATTAGAAGTTTGTTCATACAGAGTAAGTATGTTGAAATATAATAAGTTGACCAATTATTCTAGGTATAAGACATTTTCCATGTTTAAGTCCTTATATCAAGTTTCCACCTGCCTAATTTTGAATTGACAGATAAATCTAGTCAATAATGAATGGTAAATTGTTTTCTAAAATGCTGTTCAACTTTAAACTTTATCATTTTGTTTTATTCCAGCAAGGCTCCAACATAATGGTGCTTCATTTCAATCACCTCATTGCTTACATAAAAAAACAGGTTAGTTTTTATACATCTATTTTATTACTTTTGGCTTGTGCTAGTACATCGTGTAACTTCTCACCCATCACATTATGTTATGGGTATCTCATATCTCCATCACACGAGATATGAGATATAAGGATACGCTAGTTAATAAACATATCCTTTGTGCTTAGATATATGGAATAACAATTAGGTCACTTTTTGTTGTTTTAGTGGAAACTTCCAAACTAGCAGGTCCATCTAATCAACGCAATGGTATGTTTTTTAAATACTACAAATTTAAGTAGTAAATTTTAAATACTAGATAAGTAAAAAGTTTGGAATACCTTTTGGTACGGTATGCCAAATTTCAAAACTACTATACAAATTAATTAATGAAGGAGTTCCTGTTTGGGGATGCAATACAATAGAATTAGATAGTATTATTATCAATGTATGTTTTTTTTATTACAGAACATGATGTTGTGTCTCTATCAGTTTCATCTTCAGATATTACTACCTTATTAGCCTTAATAATAACTATTGCTGTTTATGTTTACATTTACAATGTGGCTTAGATAAAGTTACAATACACCATGTATGATTGTTTATAAATAATCATACAAGGTGAGCAGACAATAACCCATGAATAAGCAGGCATTAATTTACCTTTGCCTTACCGATTAATGCCAATTTATTCCCTTTATAGGTAATATCATATATTCTTACACTTGATAAATTTTAGCTTTGTTGTTGTTGTAGTTTATTTAATTCATAAGTATTTTTTTTTTACATACATTTTTCTGCATTTATTTCAATTGCAGCTACCAATAACCAATCAAAGGTGTTGCAGGAATCAAGTAGTATGTAATTTTTATGATTTCATTAAAATGTGATGATCATGCTGGTAGTTTTTGTGTTTTTTTTTTTTTTTTTTAATTGTAAATTATATTGTATAGGTGAGCTCATTATAACTGGAAAAAAGACCAATCGTCTTTTAAGGTCGATTTAGCAGTTGCAGCGGGAGACTGACAATCTGCTCAATAATGAAAAAATCTTAAAAAATTATTTTTTTAGTGCTTGGGTTTTTATTAAATTTTCTATTTTTCTTAACCTATTTTGAAAATTTGGGATCAATTAGTTTAACTTAATAGATCATGATCCAGATCCAAAAAAGTAAGATCTTGGATTAACAACTTCTCATACTTCATTTATTGAAATAATTGTAAATATGTAAGTAAAAAAAAAAGCTTCTGGGAAAATATAAAACTTCAGGATTACAAAGAAAAGCTAGAATTCAAAATTTAAATTCTTAACCAGTCATTCGTTTGACTTAATCGCTCCTTGGATTTTCTTAATATCCTCAGATTAAGCACTTCAAATGAAGGGGCGGGACGGGTCTTAAATTATTAATTAATAATTAATTGCCTGATTTCTATGATATCTTATATATCTTTATTTCTTATTATAGAACCACAGTTCCTGATGCAGCAATGCAAAATCTCAAAGAGCAACTTGGAACAGTTTGCCAATTACTCGTGGGCGTGCGTCAGACGAAGTCTTAATCAGAGTGGCCTAGATAGGAAGAAAAAACGAAAGTTAACAGCCACACAATTGTGATTCTATAATAATGATAATATGTTAAAAATTTCTTTTATACAGAATGAATTTTTTTTTAAATAAGATGTTATTTCAAACTTTAACTTACCTATTATCGGTAATTAAAAAGAAAAATAGACATACTTTCCTTCCATTCAAAATAAAAAGCTCCGTATGTTATTAGTTTGGTTATTAGATTTATGATATTAATTATATTTATATTATAGATTATTATCATTGGCAGATTAAGACTATTCGGGGTTCGGAGTCCTTTTTAACCTGTCACAGCATAAAAATGACTAAATCACTATAAAAAGAAAAGGTCTGCTTAAAAATTTCGGAATCGTAAAAGGGCCCTAGCCCCACCCCTCCTTAATCCAGCACTGGTTCCTATAGGAACCAGTGCTGGATTAAAGGAGAGGGCTACGGCCGTATATATGCGAATGTCAAATTTCCCATCAGCATCTTATAAGAATCCTGTTAGTCCTAAAAAATAGTAAAATCTTTTAATATATTCTTGTAGATCTTACATTATCCTATAACAATTCTTTCAAATCCTACAAGATCCTTCAAATGATTCTTGTAGGTCCTGCAGGGACTTGTGCAACTCATTCTATAGGATTCTTGTAGGATCTGTAAAATCAGTAGTCTAGTGTGTGTGTGTGTATATATATATATATATATATATATATATATATATATATATATATATATATATATATATATATATATATATATATATATATATATATATATATATATATGTGTATATGCATATATATATATATATATATATATATATATATGTATATGCATATATATATATGTATATATATATGTATATATGTATATGCATATATATATATATGCATATATATATATATGTATATATATATATACACACATATATGCTTCTAAAAATGTTTGTCAAACATTTTATGCTAAACTAAGCAATTGTCGGATTTCGACGCTGTTATTTTCAAAAACAAGGCCAATATTAAATTAACTCTATTGCTCCTGCAATTTTTGATAATTTTGGCTTTTATGGAGGCAAACTGTTTAACTCTTCATCTATCTCCTCATTTACTTCAGCACAATCATTGATTAAAATTAAATCCAAATTTCTCAATTTGTGGAAGCAATTGCTTCGCTTGTACAAATATCAAAATCTATGTTTACGTAATCTTCAATAAAAAAAATCTTTGTTCACTAAACAAAATGATCTTAAAATGTTGGTATTTGTGGTTGTTTTACCAGCATTGATGTGTTTAATCTGACGCCTCACAACTTTTTTTTTTGGTGGTTATTAAGGTACTTTCAAAAGTTCTTACGGTCTTATCAGAGAGCACCGCGTAAGAGCATTTAACCATGATGTTCATACTTTTTTTCTTACCTTAGTCACTTCTTGGGCTAGAGCCTTCGTCGAACCTCTGTCCTCTTGATCCTGAACCAGAAATCTAATCACTGCACATGGCTGCTGAACATGGCTTCGTGTGATACAAAGCCTTCAATGCTCTTCTATGACTCTCTGGTGGTAAAAACACTAATTTTACTGCTTTGAGATTGTCAACATTAGATTGAGCAGGGCAGTAATTTATGATTAAACCAACTATTCTACCCTCAACATTAAACTTTGCGTCAAGCCTTCTTACGATTAGGGTTTCTCAAACGGGATCCCGGGATCCCGTTTTCCCGGGATCCCGGGGATAAAAGTGGCAGCGGGATTTCCCGGGATATCACTCTTATATCCCGGAATATAATTTTTTTTTAAATAATTTTACATATGATAATTTTGAACTAATTCGACCAAAAATAAGAAAAATATTATTGCATTTAGTTGTGTTTTATGTGTTCATACCTTATATTAAAACCTAGCACAACAAGAAATGCTATTGAAACTATCTTAAACTAAAAAGAAATGCATTGCAATGCAATGTTTTCTTTTTTCTCATTATTATAAAATATGAGTAAAAAATAAAAAAGATTTCTTGCGACGAAAACAGTAAGTTTAATTTTTAAACTTCTAAATTATTGAAAAGTTAAACTTTTTCTGTATCAAATTATTGAAATATTTAATAATTTTTGTATTTAAAAAACGGCAAACAAACACATAAAAGTCATACGTAAGATAACATACATATGTAAGAAATATTTGTAACTTTACTTTTAGTTGTTCTGCGATTCAATTTAGTTATACTATGTCAATTGTAAATGGATCCAAAGCATGGCAGTATTTTTGTAAAGAAAAATCTGGCGAATCTGCAATTTGCAAAAAGTGCAATGTAAAGATAATGTGCAAAGGATTTTCGACCAGTGGGCTCCTACGTCATTTAAAAAACACACATAAAGATTTGGATCTAAATATGAAGCGTCTACTTGAAGATACTGGTTCGGAAAATAAAATTGTTCAAAAGAAAATAACATTGTTTGTTAAACAGCAGACTATCGAGGAAATTGTGTCAAAGCTAGCAACGGTGGATGGCTTCTCAATAAATGCCATAACAAAAAGTGAATTCATTAGAAAATCATTGTCTGAAAAAGGCATGTTATTACCAAAAAATCCATCCCATGTTATGGGTATGATAAAAAAACAATATGAATTAGCTAGACAAACTGTGGTTTTAGAGATAACAAAAGAAATTTCTAGCGGGTCGCGATTTTCTTTATCGTTAGACGAATATACGTCTTTAAAAAATCGACGTTATTTAAATGGGAATTTACACTTATCAACAAAGTTTTGGAACCTGGGAATGACTCCGATAGCTGGATCACTTCCTGCAGAAAAAATTGTTGATCTAGTTGAAAATAAACTGTCAGATTTCAGTTTATCAATTAAAAAGCACATCATAGCTAGTGTCACTGACGGAGCATCCGTAATGAAAAAATTTGGACGGCTAAGTCGTATTGAACATCAGCTGTGTTATGCCCACGGACTTCATTTGGCAGTATGTGATGTTCTTTACAAAAAGTCAGACTCTTCAGCAAAATATATTGAATTTGAATTGCAGTTTCAAGATTCCGATGAAAATTTGAGTGATTACGACGAGTTTGATGATGTATTTGACTGTAATGATGAGTCACACAGCTCAACAGGCGTTACGTTTATTGATGATTTACAAAATAGCGTAAATATAGCCTTAACAATTCAGAATGTTCGAAAAGTGGTTCGAATGTTCCGTAAATCACCTCTTAAAAATGAAGTTTTACAAATGTACGTAAAATCTATGTTTAATAAAGAGCTTAAGCTGATATTAGATGTCAAAACGAGGTGGAATAGTCTTGTTGCAATGCTAGAAAGATTCCTTAAAGTAAAAACATGTATACTAAAAGCAATGATCGATTTAAAAGAAGTTCTGAATATCTCCGAAGATGAATATGCGATTATGAACGACATAACATTTTCTCTGCAACCAATAAAAGTTGGAATAGAAAGACTTGGTAGAAGTAATGCTACTCTACTTGACGCAGAAGGTGTAATGATATTCATCTTAGACGATTTGACGGAGAAAAAAAATTTTATAGCTAATAAACTGCTTCAATCTGTGCAGCAGAGAATTGAAGAACGCAGAAATGCCAATTTAATTGGATTACTAAAATTTTTAAACAACCCAATTAGTTATAATCAGGAATCAAATATCAACTCCAAACTACTCTTACCGCCCAAACATGCATTAAAAGCAACAGCAAAAAAAATTTATACCAGGTTGTACATAGAGGATGCTAGCCTTAGTTCATCAAATAATGAAATAGTTGAAGTGAGTCGTGATAATGAAAGCATGGTTTCTGACCCGTCAATACCTCAACCTGTTGCTCCATATTTATTAGGCAAAAGTATTTTGACGCTTGAACAAAAATTGGATGCGACTATTTGTAATGTCAAACAAGTAGAAAAAGCAGCTCTAGAAAACATTAGCAATTTAAAAAACCTCACAAAAGAAATCAAACTTTTTGAGGCAACTGGAAAGCGTAGCGAAAGTTTAGAAAGAATATACTCAACATTAATGACCATCAAGCCGACATCAATTGAATCAGAAAGGGCTTTTTCTGCCGCGGGTCTATTTATGGGAAAAATTCGTTCACGATTAAGTGACAAATCAATTGATTGTTTATGTTTTTTAAAACAATATTTCATTTTAAATAGTAATATAGATTAGCGTGCTAAGATAAATTTGTGTCAGAAACCGCTTGTTATTATATTAAAAATTATGCCGGGAAATCCCGGGAAATCCCGGGATAAATAAGTTACACACCGGGAATCCCGGGATGCTAAATTTACGGGAAATGAGAAACCCTACTTACGATATTAGTAAAGACTTTAAAGTTCATCTAAGATTTTTTTTGGAACTTATACTGACAAGGTAGACTGTAGTAGACTAGTAGGTAGACTGCTTAGCCTGTTAAACGAACTTTGCAATTCCAAAAAATATATATATAAATATAATATATATATATATATATATATATATATATATATATATATATATATATATATATATATATATATATATATATATATATATATATATATATATATATATATATATATATATAATAAAAATATGCTGATGCATATTGCAATTTAGTTGCCAGTTTATATATATATATATATATATATATATATATATATATATATATATATATATATATATATATATATATATATATATATATATATATATATATATATATATATATATATATATATATATATATATATAATCTTATATATATTAAGAATATGCTGATGCATATTGCAATTTAGTTGCCAGTTTATATATATATATATATATACATATATATATATATATATATAAATATATATATATATATAAATACATATATATATATATATATATATATATATACATATATATATATATATATATATATATATATATATATATATATATATATATATATATATATAAATATATATATATATATATATATATATATATATATATATATATATATATATATATATATATATATATATATATAAATATATATATATATATGTATATATATATGTATATATATATGTATATATATATATATATATATATATATGTATATATATATATACATATATATATATATATATATATATATATATATATATATATATATATATATATATATATATATATATATATATATATATATTAGAGATGTGCCGGAACCAGTTTATGCCGAGTCTCCGATTCCGGGTACCCGGCTGAAAAAACCGGGTCCGAGTCCGGGTTCTCGGCACCGAGTCCATTTTTTAAAAGTTGGAATAAAATCTTGTGAAATCTCTAGCGCTGAACTATTCACACAAAATACGCTTTTTACGCTAACTAACCAAAAGTTATGTGGCGGAAGTACCATTTAGCAAAACCCCGCAATGCAGGGTAAAGGGCCTAACTTTTTTCAAAAGTTGTGCAACAGTTTTTTAATAACTATATTTAGTTTAAAATTATTTTTCTTTCCTGGTGGAGCGGGCCTAAATAATATTTTGTTATAAATATTATCGAAATTAAAATATAAAAAATGTGTATAATATTTAACTTATATCTCTACTTTTATGATTTTTGCTTGATTCGAATGAAAAGTGGTATCAGCGTTCGAAAGCATTATAAGCGTTTCATTCAAAACTAAATTGCTAAAAATTATCTTGTGTTCTAACAGAATAAAAAGAAGCTATTCTAAAACTTTTTCTCCCATTCTTTTTATTCGTATTCTCGAATTATTTCATTTAGCGTTACAGTTTTTGTATCCGTATAAATTTTTTTGCAAAAATGTATTAAAAAATATTTTAAGTGAGATTGTTTTAAGTTAATAGAACTTTGTGGTTATCGACTACATAACATTTTTAGACTTATATCAAGAACTTTAATGGTTAAAGTTTAAATTTAAGGAAAAATCAATTTGAAGATACCCGGTTCCGGGTACTGCAACAAAATGGCCGATACCGGGTACCCGGTAAAACAGCCAAACTGCCGGGTCCCCGGGTCCGAACCGGGTACCCGGCACATCACTAATATATATATATATATATTTGTAATAAGAGATTCTTAGATTCTTTTCTGAATTTTTCCAAAGAGATGTGTTGAACATTATTTTTTTGTGATAAATTTTAAAAAATGTTCTCATAGAAACGGTCCGCGGTGTTGGATTTTAGTTAGTAAGAATTTAGTTTTGAATTAGTTTTTGGAACAATAAAGTTATTAGTTGAAAATTTAGTAGCATACTTGTGCAAGATTTCACTAAAGTAAGACTAAAATACAATAGGAGAGAATTTATATTTAGTTTTAAACATGAATTGTAGAACTTGGTGTATATTAAGTTTATAGACACTTAGGACACCGAGCTTCCTTAAAAGAGGTTCACATTGAAAAGTTCTGTGGGCACCAAATATAATCCTGCATGCATGTTTTCGACGTTTTTTCAACTTACCATAGTTAGTACTACCCCATACAATATTGCAGTCAGAGATAAAACTATGAATAAATGAAAAGTATGTTTTTTTTAGAGAAGAGGTGTTAAGATATGGTTTAGTTTTATATAATATATAAATATTTCTTGATATTTTATTTTCTATATATTTTATAAGTGGTTTCCATGACAAATTTTCATCTATTATTACTCCTAGAAAATTAACGATTTGTTCCCTTTTAATAAATACTTTATTGATTAGGAGGTTGGGTAATTTTAGAGGAACATCATCACCATTACTAGGTTTGGAAAATAAAATAAATTTAGTTTTTTCTACATTTAACGAAAGCCTTTTGCTTGTAAACCAATCGTTTATTTTAAATAGTTCTTCATAAAATATTTGTTGGAATAAAAAAGATTGGAGTCATCTGCAAACAATATAACATTTAAAATATTTGATGCAAAGTATAAATCATTTATATACAATAAAAATAATAATGGCCCTAAGATTAAACCTTGGGGCACACCAAGGTTTAATCTTAGGGCCAAAAAGTAAGAGTGTTAATTAACAATTAATTGTCTAATAATCAACATATCAAAGCCTATACCACAGGCTTTGTCGGGAAGCGGGAGCGATCGCTCTTAAATACTGACCACCGAAATTATATTTAGTTGCGAAAAACTGGCCAGGTTTTTTAGTTGTTTTGAGAACTTTTAAGTTTATGAACATAACAAAAATTTTTTGTTGGATTTCAAAGTTAGTGTTGAAAAAAACAACTGAGTATTCATATCAGTTTAAAGTTTTAACAGTTGCTGGTGGTTCATTATTATTTATTATATAATCGTTTATTTAAATTTATCTAATAGACTAAGGTAATATAATATTTTTATAGATAATATAATTTTTATAATTGTATTAATAAAATTCAGAACTAAAATATGTAAAAAAATTATTTACAAACAACGGACAAAGTCTGTACTGTACCTGGAAAATCTGGAAAACATGTTAATATTGGCCAAAGTCGTGGAAAACCTGGAAAAGTCAGGAACTTAATTTTTCTTTAGATAGTCATGGAAAAGTCAGTAATTTTAGTTAAGAAGTTACTCGTTTCACAATTGAACGGGTATTTTGAAAACGTGAAGAGTCACACTTTTTTTAAAAGTGAGGTTGTATGAAAATAATATTTTTTTTTAGAAAAAGATAAAATTATAAGATAAAATAAAGATTTTTTTAGATAAAATATAGATTTTTTTTTGATAAAAGTAAAAATTTTTAGATAAAATAAAAATAAAATTTTTTACAGGAGAAATAATTTTTACTCTCCTGTAAAGTTTTAATTTTGTGACTTGTCACATTTTCAAAATACAGCGCTCAATTATGTTTTTTTTTGGTGCTATCCATTTAATTTTTCTGAAACTTATGGTTTTTTTAGTGTTTATTCATAGTCATCCTTATTAATAAGATCCATACTAATATCCAACTACACTAATAGCTAAGTTTTATAAGTTTTGTCATTCAAAGCATGTATAATCTTAGCATTTTCATTACATTAGATAGTAATTTTAAACATTTTGTAAAAACCATTATTAAAAATAGTCAGGGAAATTCATCTGATTTTTCAAAAAAGCTATTGAATTATATATAAATAGTTGGCTGCGAAGCCTGTTGGAAAAACATTGTTTTAATATGAATTTTTTTGTTTTACAGTGCAATTTGTATCTCAAATTTTAACGAGAATTGTTTTCTGTCAGTGCCAGAAATAGAATGCACACCTGCAAATTTCATAATTCATAAATATATTATGAATCCATTAGTAAGTATATATTTTTATCATTAAAAATTTGCCCCTCTGTCTTTAATTTTATCTGTTTTATTAGTGATTGTTGTATTTACTTTCATATTTGTTGTATTGTATATGTTATATGTTGTAATACTTCTGCTTTATAGTTGTATTTGTCTAAAGAATTGAGTAATTGTGTTATATTAGGTCAATTGTGTATCACATTATGCTTACCACAACGATGGCAATTTTTAATAATTGTTTTGATTTTGTAATATGTTTTTGAATATTTATCTGATAATTTCATATAGGTTTACTTAGATGTTCTTTTGTTTTTATCTGTGGCTGAAACAGTATTGTTTTTGTCGACCTTTGAGTATATAAACTAAATTTAAAACGAATATTTTTATTATAAGGTTGCTTGCTTTTATAAAATAAAACAAATTCATTAAAACGATCAACTCCACTAAACGTTATGAATTATAATTGAGCCTATACTGAGTTAAACAAAACTGGAAATAAGTAAAAACAAAAACTTTTTCTAATATAATCAATCACTTCCTTTGTCTAAGGCATTTACGTCTAAATATGTTTCACTAGTGACTATACTCACTTATTCTAGTTGCGAACCTGATATGTAAAGAGAACATAATAAGATTGGACTGAGCGAGACTAAGAACCATTATTTACGAACACACAGATTCAAAGCAATAAAAACATTAAATGACACATAAAACTTTAACGTTTAGAACAGTACAAACACAAAACACAATAACTTACAGAACACTGCAACAACACGTACTTAAATCTAACATGAACAACACTTACTTCACTCAAACTTAATTGAACCCGTCATTTCGAAAAGGGCACAAGTCACACTTTTTTCAAATTTCACTTTTTAATGCAATTTTATTTATTCAAGTGTTTTACATATTCCCATTGAAGGAGAAACATTTTCGTATGCACACAAGTCAACTTTAAATGCAAATGAAAATTAAAGTCTGTTTGAAAATGGCACAAGTCCCGGACTTATGCCTTTTTCAAGTGAAACGAAACGCAACAGTAGTGACGTAATTTCACTTTATTTGTAACAAAAATGGAAAATCGCGAACTTGCTAAAAATGCATATAGATCTAGAAAAAGAGTGTCTGGTATAAGAAATAGTGGAAATTATAAACACGAAAAAATAAAAAAAGCCAAAATTGCTGAAAAAGCTCATAAAAACCACAAAGGAAATGATGTGGCACCAAGTCAAACGGGTGCTTCTTGCAGTTTAGTTTTTTGTTATATAGAGTATGACTTATTCGTTCTCAAATTTTTGCTTATTTACTCATGTTTTACCACCAATAATTAAAACATCTTGATGTATAATTATTATAATATTACCTCAATAATTCTATTTATTTACAGATGTAATTCAAAGTGTATGGAGCTTGTATCTGAAGATTTTATAGAAAGTACAATTCAGTTTGTTAACAAATTTGATTGAAAAAATGCCCAAGATACATACTTGCAGTCATTGATTGAAAAGAAAGAAATAGAGAGAAGACGGTTTAGATCTAAAGAAAAAATAATTTTCTTTTACACATTAAGATTGAAGGTCTAAGAAAAAAAGTACGCAAGAAAGCTTTTTGCTGTATGCATGGAATTTCTATGAAACAAGTTAGACGTTTATGCATTTTATTAAAAAAAAGAAGGGTACCAAAACTTCTATACAAAGGTTTTCGCTTCGCTAACAACTTTGGCAAACAATGAATTCCAAGAAATAAGTGATGATTACCTAACAATAATTGTTTTTATGTAATAATAAATCATTATTATTCTGATAATCTTTGGTTTTTTATATACAAAAAAGCGTTCATTGCGAAAAAGACATTAGTCCATAAATTTAAATTAGAAATATATGTGTTATATATTATTTTTTTATAACAAATAAGACTCTAAAAACTTATGTATGGCTTTTATTTATCTACTCTTATCTTTAGTTTCTTTAGCACCATAGCACCATTTTCTAATAAACTTATTTTTGTCGATCCTGAAAAGTTTGATCAAATGGACTTATGCCCTTTTCGAAATGACGGGTTCAATTACTGAATAGTACTCTTCTTTTAAACACCAACTCTTAATTCTGGACATCTAATCAAATATTATAATTTATCTTGCACTTTCTTGCACTTATATAAAATATTTCTTGCTTCTCTTAAGACTATTACGGCCTGATGGTTCCATATAAGTGGTGGAACTTTAATAGCTTCCACTGCGAAACAATAACAATTTAGCAATGGCGCAACAATAAAGAAATAATTACTGCATTATCAAATTTATTTATTTAATATTTAATTAAAAATTAAAAAATGTTACCCTGTTACTAATTGTAACAGGGTAACATTTTGTAACGATAATTGTAACGATTGAGACGTAACGTCTCAATCGTTTACAATTGGTATATAATCGTTTATCAATCAAATTCGTTTATAAATCGTTTATCAATCAAATCGTTAACAATTGGTATCAATCGTTTACAAATCGTTTACAATTGGTTATACACGATGTCAACACTATCGTAAACGATTGAGACGATACGTCTCAATCGTTTACGATAGTGTTGACATTTAAATAAATAAATTTTTAATTAAATGCTAAATACATTAAAATTAAATCGCTAGATATTTAAATATTACAAATTAAATCGTTAAAAAATAAGTATAAAACAATCTTCTTATTCTCAATCTTCTTATTCTCAATCTTCTTATTTTTCGTTTGTAAATTTCCTTATTTTTCCTTTTTTTGTTTCTTTTTATTTGTTAACTTTTAATTTCTTTCTTCCTTTTTTTTTTTTTGTGTTCTTTTATTGTTTTACGTGAGTTTTTTTTTTTTTTTTTAGTTCGAAATTCTGTTTATCTTTTTGTAAATTTTTTGTCTTGATTTAACTCTTTGTCTTAAATTAATTTATACGCTTTTGATTATGATTTATTGGTGACTTTTTTAAAAACAAAATTTATCTTTTGATATGAGTTTAACATTATTCTTTATCTTTACTTTAGCTTTTTTAACGGTTAAAAAAGCGAGACCGTCATTTGCCTAAAAACGACGAAGGTTTTTTAAAATAATATTTTAAAGGATAGTCTTTTTAACATAAAATTTTTTTATGTTAAAAACTATTTAAGACGTATTTTAAGTACGTCTCAAATAAAGAAGTACGTTCAAATACATAATGTAGTGTAACAAAATCTAGATATAAATCTAGATTTTGTTACATTACATTACGTTTTCATTTTGGTAAACAGTAGAAACGTAATACTTTACGAGTTTTTATAAACCCACAATCAAAAATCCATATAAAATGTCAATGTTTTTATATGATGTACTGCAATGTAATTTATACATTAATTGCTAAAGCCAATTACGTGGATAGTTCCCATATTCTGAGAAATATCTGTCTACACTCTCTAACTTGATTCACTTTTTTCTTTTTTTTTTCTCTCTCTCTATAATTAGCTCCCTCTCTATATAAAAGCTCTCTCTATCCATATGTATAAATGTACCTATAAAAAAAAAGTTATATTAATAGATACTATAGATTACAATGTTACGTGTCATTATGTCAAAATATTACGTGATGTACGTAACATTTTTCATGTTGTGTTACATTACAATGTTAAGTCTCAATTAGGTAAAAATAACAAACATTTTTCACATAACGTTACGTTAAAGTGTTACGTATTGTTACGTAAAATGTTACGTCTCGGTTATGTACAAATAACGGATACATATAACATTTTGCACGTTACGTAACGAATCCCGTTTACGTCACAATAAACTTAACTTTTACGTAACTTTAAAATGTTATAGGATATAACATTTTAAAGTTACGTAAGATATATATATATATATATATATATATATATATATATATATATATATATATATATATATATATATATATATATATATATATATATATATATATATATATATAAACAAGAGGATATAATATTTCATAAAAATAGATTATTCAGAATTCTACATGTCTTTTAAAGTAATTTAAATGTCATTAATATATAGTTTAGATATCGGCGATGTGGAAGAAAATGTTGGCGGCAATGCAGAAATGTAGTTTCTTATGTATATTCTCCCAAGGTTGAGTGAGCCACTTTAGTCGAGGAATCTACTTCTTATATTGGTTACAACCCTCTCTCAACTCTGAAAGACGGTTGTAACCAATAGAAACAGGTTGATATACATAAAACATATAATATATTTTATAATTATTTTTTATAAATTAAAAAAAAACTTTATAGCTTTTGAATTTAACTGAAAGTTAAATGAAATTTTGAAGTTGTTACCAAATGTAACTGAAAACCGAATTTCTATTTCAAGTTTTAACGAATATTGGCCGGTCCTTAGTTTCAAGCGGGTATTTAGACAAGTACTAATATCCAATCGGCAATTTACGAAACTGAAACATTTAATGTTTAAGGTTAATTATAATTAAAATTTTTATTTTTATTGCTTTAAGAAGGAAACAATAAGTATAGTTTTTCTATATGTATACAGCTATTTTTCTACAGCGCACTATATTGAAGTAAGGAATAAGTATAGAAAAGAGCGATGTGGATTAAATTTGAAAAGACCCGTATTTTACGAGGTATTCTGTTTAAATTATCAACCAACTTATTTAACCATTAATTATCAACTAAAAAACAAAAGAATATTATTACTTTTCAATCAACTTATTGAACCAAACACTTATGTAACTAGCATCAACACTTATACTAACTGCAAACCAGGAGCCTCACTTCAGCAAATTATACAAACGCCACGAGTTGAAATTTCCGCGTTTCCACCAACAATTTGAGCAATAAATTGTTTTTTCCTATTTGATTTAAATTAAGCATTTCGTCTATTTTAAACTCGAAACAAAAACTTTACTTGGTAGAAGCAAAAAGGCTTTTTTGTCAAAAAAAAAGCGATACAATGAGTTTTTCTTTTGCTTTAACTGTCAAATAGTACTTGAAAAGTAGCGTTTTTATCGTGAAATTGAAAATAAACGATTCATTTGCTTCAACTTCTTCAACAACCGCGTTGCTCACCCATAGAACGCACTACCTAACAAAGTTGTCAGTGCTATCAAAGTTGAATGCTTCAAAGCAAAACTTGATCAGTTACCGTAATGATTACCACAGCAATCGAGCACGAGCTAGCATGGCTAACTGATTATTTGTTTACGGAATACACCCAGTTTAAATCAACTAAAATTAAATTCTGTTATTTTCAAAATAATTTATAACTAATTATATTAATTTTTTTTTCGTGTGCATTTATAGTCCAAATACTAAAGTTTCAACCTCAAAGATTAAAAACTCATTTTTTACATTTAAATTTTTCCTTTTTTAATGCAAAGGCCATTTTGACTTGCCGCTATACCGCTTAGACTGTACAACAATTTTAGTTTTTGTTTTTCATCCTGCTTGATAATAGACAAGTTTTTGGTTGAGAATTCATTTAAAAAGAAGCCGCTTATTGTTAGTTAGTTTTATTTAATGCACACATTTTACAATGTTATCCTTAAAATCTAATAAATATATATAATTATAATCTGACTGGGACAAGTAGAAGACAAAAGGTCTTATCATCAATCTCCGTCGTTAAATAGAGAAATATATAATTATACAAGTTCTAATAATATAAAAAAAAGTGAAACTAAAAAGTTTGAAAAAAATTATTAAGTTAGCGAAAAAAAACAAATATTTTTTTTCTTTTGTTTTTAAATTTACAAAGCGGTACATTTCGCGACGTTAGAATTATCTTGTTCTATCTCCACTTTTTGAAAAAATTGAGCTAATGATAATGTTGTGTTACTCAAAAAAATGTCTTTCTACTGAACTGAAACCTAAGTTATTTAACATGTTAAAGTTGTCGTCTCTTAAAGTTTTTGTTTTTTAAATCGTTTTATTTCAAAACTAAAAAAATGTGGAGATAGAACAAATAATTCTAACGTCGCGATTTGTATACGTATATATACGTACGTATACGAATCGTAATATAACGTAAATAAAAAAATATGTACTATTAAACGTAAATATAAAAGTTTACAAATACTTATACATATTCAATACGTGCTCTCGAGTGCTTAATAATAAAAAAAAAGAAATGGGGGAGGGGAGTTTATTAGTTTTTGAGTAAATTTCCCCAAACCTACTAAACACCCCATCCCCCTTGTTTATTTAATTTTTACTTGTTATCAATGAAAAAACTTATATCTTAAAACTAAAACAAAAATCGGCCTTTCTTTTAAAGTTTTAAAAGATAATTATTTCAGTCACTGATAAAAACAAAAACTTTCAGTGCAAAAGGCTTTAAAAATTGTCCTAAAACCTAGTAAATCTCAATTTATCGAAAATGAGCTTTTGTTCATAGACGAAATATATTGAATTAAATTTGATGTCAGTGTTACAACGCTGGGGAGCCAGGGGGTCTAAGGCTCCAGATTTTCTGAAAAATCTTTCTTTTTTTCTTCAAGAAATTCTAAGATGCGGCCCCTCTCCCCTATATTTCGAAAGCCGTGTTATCGGTTCTAATAAATGTTGATTTGTATATAATAAATAGCAGGATTATAAAAAAAAGATACTACTTTCATACTTTATTTGGTAAAAGTAAATTACTTAATATAATGCACAAGAACTGAAATAAATATAAAGTAAAAGTAAAACAGTATTCTTTAGTTTGTAAAATAGAATGCATTTTTTTATTCGGTTATTTGCCTTTCAAAAAAGGCTGGCTATTCAAAAATTTATAATAAATCCGGTACCTTCGCAAGAAAATTGTTGAGCAAAAACCACGCCGTTGCTATAAACTAATGCGTAAAATAGAAATAAAAGTTGAAATAAAACAGTTTTCTTTTTCATTTTTTTCAAGGTATGCTTAAGTATTATTTTGAGTGTTTCTCTTTGTCTATTAATTATTGATATTAATATTATTATCATTTTAGTTATTATTTTTATCATTATTTTTGTTGTTGTTATTTTTATTGTTAATATTATTATTCTAAAACAAAAATTGTAATGATAAAAAAAAAAAAATTGTGTGGTGTTAAATATATAGGTTTTATTAGAAGTAGCTTTTAATAAATATCTAAAATAACACCAAATAATTTTTTTTTCGATTTAAGAAAGTTATTATAAAGTCGTCACATTTTTGTCAGTTACGTAACTGTTTATGACTGATCCTAGCTTTGTAGGTGAGGGTAAGCGAAAGATACTATGACTCAAAATGAGGTTTTGATTTTTTTAAAAACGAAGACCAGATATATTACCAATTTGAGGAGAAATGTAGGAGAGTGCTGCTACATCGATTGATCTATACCTGTCTTAACCCAAACCCTCAGTCGATGTAGCAGCATTCCCTTGCATGTCATCCCTAAATTAGTCAATGTAGAAGCACTCTCCAACATTTCTCCTCAAATCAGTAATATATCTGGTCTTCTTTTTTTAAAAAAAATCAAAACCTCATTTTGAGTCATAGTATCTTTCGCTCACCACGAAAGTAATGAAAACACATTTTTGTTGTTTGATTATGTTCATGTCATGAAGTGTGTTCAAAATAATAAGTTTACTAAAGAAAACTAGGTATTATTTTTCAAGTTTGATGATAATAAACATGTAGTCAAATGGAGTGATTCAATAAATCTATGAGTTGAAATCTGCTCATATGAAATAGTAATTTCATATAAAATGAAATTATTATCTCACCACAACCAATTGAGCAGCAGAAAGTTGAGATTTATTTATGAGTTTTCTGTGACAAAATGATTGCTGCACTTAATAATCATCCAACCGATAAAAAAAGATAAAGTTATTGGAACCATCAAATTTATTACTATTTTTGTGAAGTTTTGGGAAATTTGTTATGTGAAAGGTGTTATAGCAGGTATATTTGTTATAAAGATAATTACCATGTAGTGTAAGATAACACACAGGTAAAAGTTTGCTATTTTTATTAGATGTGGCTGATATGATTGAAAGAAAGAAAAAAGTCAGGCCCAAAACGTATTAAACAGCATAAAAAAGGTCTCTGAATGTATTTCTATGTTATTGTGGGGTAGTTCACAACTGATCCATTAGATAAAACATTTATCAAACTTCTCCAGGGTTCTGGAGTAACCTGTTTTCTCAAGTTTTTAGACCTATGTTTTATATAATTCTAAATCAGTGTAATGTATTCTACCATAATTTATCATAAAAACAGGAGAGGGAAAGAAGGGGGTGGGGCGGAATCAGGAGAGAAAATCAGTTAGCCTATAAATTTGGTGTCAATAGTAATAAAATAAAAAATTATTATTTTTTAATTATTGGATAATGATAAAAAAGCCAATCAAAAGTAAGTTCTATTATTATGTGACACATCATAACCAAAACAGTTCAAGGCAATACAATTTTATTTTTTTATTCAAAAAAATTGATTTAATTACAAAAATTGCTAAAAGATTTGCTAAAAAAATTCTTTTTCTTGTTGAATTTTAATTTTTTTAGGGAATAAACTTTACCTTCAGTTAAACTTTGTTTGCTTTTTTGATCAACTTCTTTAGCTTGACTTTAATGTTAAAAATATGTAAATACTTTATTTTATTTTAAAATGAAATGAAAAATTAAAATGTAAACAGCATAAAGAACAATTACACTTCTTCTCCAACTATCAATAATTTTATTAATATATGTAAAGCAGATGATGACCTTGATGCATCAGGAAAAATTTGGAAACACTTTTTTAAGCAAATTTGGCTAACATTAAATTACTTATCAAATTTTTTTTTCTTTTAATGTGTTTTATCCATTTTTTTCTTTTATCAGTGTTTCATCAAAGACTCATTAACAATAGGATTGGGAATCTCGGGATCCCAAAATCCAGAAGTTTTGTGGTTTTTAACAATCTTGTTATCCCAGGATTAAGCATTTAATTCCAGGATTTTTTTTTAAATCAATTTTGGTTGAATATTTTTAAATAAAATTTCTTTGGTTGAGATTTGTCTATTTTCATTTTACAAAAGTTTATCCAATAGTCAACAGAGTGCGTAAAATGGTTTTAGATACAAAAAAAAAATTAAATGATTTTTTAATTTAGTTTAATAGCCGCCAAAAAACAACTGTTGTCCGTGTAGTAGAAAAGTTGATTACTTATAATAAAAAAAAAAAATGGTTACTTAGTGATGAAAGAGAATCACTAAGTAACCATTGCTACATATTAATTTTCGTAACCATTGCTACATAAAATTATTAGTTCTGGAGCATAGGCCTATTTTGTATAACAGAATCAATGTCTGCAGATAACTGTATAGAGCTTTTAGAACAAAGGCATTTTGAGTCATAGTATCTTTCGTTTACCCTCACCTACAAGAGAGGCCTAATTCGTATAATCAATGTCTGTAGATAACTTTTAGAACAAAGGCTTGCACAACATAGATTTGATTTGCAAAAAGATTTTGTTGATATTATGACTAACAGAGCAAGTGTGATGAAAAAAGTTAGAAGAATATTATTTGTAAATCAACAGTTATATTTTGCCCATAGTGTGCAATTGGCCCATTATTGAAGTACAATATCAAAAGCAGGATATAGAAAGAAAAATAGATTAACTATTGGATGAAGACGAACGATCAGATAAAGAAGATGATTTTTTAGAGGATAATTCTTGCGAGGACAATGATTTTTCTGACAACAATAACTTGGTCAATCTTGATGCAAGTCATAATTGGCATTGAGGGAACCAATGTGATGTTACTGAGGTAATTGTGGTCCAGTGATCAAAAAAGTACGAAAATTAATAGTTATGTTTAGACAATCACACACACACACACACACACACACACAAAATGATATCTTAAAAAAGTATGTTGTGGCTGAATTTTTAGAAGCAAAAAACTCTAAAAGACTACAAGACTAGATGGAACAGTCTTTTGTCAATGCTTTAACCTATCTATTTATTAAAAAATTGTATACAAAAGGCATTAATAGACATAAGTCTATTGTGAGTCATTAAAACACTAGTCCCAGTAAAAGCAACAGTTAAGGCCCTTTGCTGTCAGAAGGCTAATTTGTTTACAGCCAATGTTGTCATAACTTTATGTTATGACAACATTGTCTAAAAAAAATCTAAGGATGTTAACAATGTTATAATTCAAAAGTTGCATTCATTTGTAGTTCTTCGAATGCAACAAAGGCATACTAGTGAAGTTGGATCCTCATTATCTGCATAATAATAAAACAGTGTTATAATTCAAAAGTTGCATTCATTTGTAGTTCTTTGAATGCAACAAAGGCGTACTGATGTAAGTGGGATTCTTATTATCTGCACAATGGTAAAACAATGTTCATTCTGAATCTAAAATAGAGCTAGTAACAGTTCCATCTTCAATAAAATGTTACAAATTGATAATTGATTTACTCGAGAGACTATATGCTTCCAATCCAGCTACATCATTAGCAGCTTATGTGTTTTAATCTAAATTTAGATTTTCTGTTTCAAATAAGGAATGACTCGAAATTGTTTCTGATTATTATGAATCTCCACCTGAATCTCTTTTTTTTTTTCTCTTAAAAAAAAAAAAGATTAACAGACAAATTTAAAGCTTTAACAAAAGCACATTTTCCGAGCATACTAATTTGATGCGAGATGCTGTGGGTGACAATTTAATAGGAAATGCTGTTATTAGCCAGGGGCTAATCTAGATCGTTTAAAGTCCTCTCCTCCTCTAAAGTGGTTTAGGGGATCCATTTACAGCTCTGGCAAAAGCATATTTTTTTCATAAAAATATACAATTTATATATATATATATATATATATATATTATATATATATATATATATATATATATATATATATATATATATACAATTTTTTCTCTCTCTATTAATAGAGTTAAACATTTTTGTGCAAACTACACTGTAAACTGCTTTTTTTAATCTTTGCGCAAACTCATATATATAATATGAAATTATTATGCATTAAGTTATTGTGTAATAATTTTTATATTATGTAATAGTATTAGTAATATATATTTCTGCATAAATAATATTTCACCAACAGCCCATCAACAGTAGATGGTGCACTATATGCACTCTACATGTTGTACCAAGTTGAAATTTTGTTAATACTATTCTAAAATTCTAGCAAATCCTTTAAATGTGCATTTTACTTTATAGGTTTTATTAACTTAGTATCATCAGCATAAATAAAACATCTAGCTTCGAGTTCTCTCGATAAATCGTTTATGTATAATACAAATAGCAAGCCTTCCCAGGAAGGTGCGGTTGCATGTGTTGTATGTCCCTGCCAAAAGTAATTTTTTTAGAAAACTTGACCACGTTTTTAAGTAAGCGTTTTAATAATCTAATGCAAAATAAAACTAGAAAAGAAACTGGAGAATCAGCAATACTTGAAGAAAAGAACTAAAGACTATACGAAATAAAAAACCTAAATAAAATAAGCTAAAAAAAATTTATTATTAAAAAAATGAAATTGTTGTCAAAAAAATAATATACCTAAATATTTACTGTTTTTATTTTCTTATTATTAGAGCATTTGTTATTTTCCACTACCAAAATTGATACAAGTCGAGGAAAAAGTAGATAAGAATATAACTAAAATAAAAATATTTTTTGATATTTTTTTTGTAACTTTTTAGTCAGTATATAAAAGAAAAACAATTTAAATTGCGCTAGAAACATGGACAGTTTTTAAATTTGTTTTTTAGTTGTTTTTGCTAAACTTTACTGTTTCTATCAATGGACATGAAAGAGAGAAAGCTAATTACTTTTTTTTTTAAATAGAAAGCTAATTGTTAATTATTTAAATTAATAGCTTGTTAAAAATTTTTCTTTTTTAACAAGTTTTTAATTTGAAAAAATAAAATGATTCTGGAAATTTTGTGAGGTAGTGCATTGTTAATTTACTGAACCTTCTTAACGACATTATTGGAGCCTATTTAAAACTTTTGTTTAAGTTTTTAAATACATTTTTTAAACAGAGCAACCGTTATGTTCATTATCTCTAGTAATTTGTATTGACATTAGAAATTGGGCAATATAAAAGATACAGTTTCATACATGCATCAAATGCTGTAAATACATTTATTAAAGAAACTATGTTATTTTTTTATTTAACTTATTCTGCCATTAACAAAATTTATTAATCAAATAATATTTTTTACAAATAAATAACAATTTATTTTCTGATTTTCTTATTATAGAAGTATTGAGAAAAAACGTCAAATATATCAAAAACTTTTTAAAAATGAAAAAGACATAAAAACATAAAGAATAAAAGTAATAAACAAATAAACTTAATAGATGAATAAGCGTAAGAAAATAAAGTTAACAAAATTTCTTATAGTTCAAGCATACATAGCAAATCAGTTTCTTGACTGATAAAAATCGTGAATAAATTGCATATCAAAACTTTCAATTGTTGTTTAATCGTTATAAAAGATGTTTTTTGAACAACTCTAAAAAAAAAGAATAAAATAGTTGTATAAAAATTTTTTAGAAAATTATTTTTTTTAACTATTTTATATTTTATTTAATTAAACTTGATATTTGGTTACAATTTTGTTTCCTTAATTAAGAACTATTATTTTTTTCTTAGTAAATAAGTTTCGCTTTTTGCTGCAAATTATTGTAACGCTTTATAAAAAATTTGTGATCAGTTAGTCTAAAATTACTTTAAACATGGATGAACAAGGCATGCGCTTTCCAGGAAGGCTTGAAATAGAGTCGGTCCAAAAACATTCCTTTGGTACACCACTTGTTACATTCACCAAATCTGATACATATACAATGACCTTTAACTACCCTTTGCCTCCTATAAGTTAGAAAAACCTTATTTCAATTTAGCAATTTTTTTATTTAAACCATGCATTCATAGCTTAAGCATTAATCGTAGGTGTGGACTTAATCAAAAGCTTTAGAAAAGTCTAAATATATCATATCAACACTTTTTTTACTAGCCACACATTTGGTTGCCAAATCAGTGCATTCTAGTAGATTGGTTGTACAAGATTTTTTTGGAACCGATGTGATCAAGACCGGTCTGTACTTGGATGGTTCTAGTTTATTACTTTTTTTAATGATAATGCTTTAGTCCAAGCATTTGGAATACATCCACTATTATAAGAGAGCTGAAAAATTAGTTGCAATGGTAAAGATTATGATTCTGTGCACATTTTTAAGACGTTAGGGCTGATTCCATTTCCACCAACTAATCTGAAAAGATTAGGTTTTGACAAATGGAATTGCACTTCATCAATTGTGCAAATGGAATTGCACTTCATCAAATCGTTTTCTATTGGTTTTATAACCAATTGAGATTCAAAGAAGAGAATGCTCTCCAATTCATCTTCTTGTACAAAAACTGATTGGAATTGTTCGTTCAATGAGTTAGCTTTATTTTTACTCGTCATTGAAATAGTACCATTTTAATTGTATAATGCATTGATTTTATTAGATTTATTTGCTTGTCTTTGGCTAATATATAAATACAGGCGTTTAGGATTATTTTTATTGCTTGCCAAATCCATTTCATGTCTCTGAACACATTTTTTTATTTTATTAACTGAGTTGCATACTACCATATATTCTTTAATGAATGATTTAGACATCCATCCTAAAGTTTTATTGCAATGTCATGACTTGTTTTTTTGTATAATAATTTGTTTTACTTCTTAATTAATCTATTTTTTTTTTGTTTGTTTATTTGACAATTTTGTTATTAACATTTTTTATATGTTTGAAGCACCATTCTTCATATTTAGCTAAAAACAAACTATAGCACTCTTCAATATTTTTATTATAAAAACAAGATTGGTCAATTTGTTTCAGATATATCTTTGTTCATATTTATATAGCATCCATTTTACAAATCAAGATTTTTCACTTGTAAATTGATTATCATTGTTAGTCTTTATCACATAGTTATATTGAAGTATTAGGTAAACTTGATATGCATCACCTAATGGAGGAAGACTGTTTATGTATTCAATTCTGTACTTGTTTTCAACTAAAGTTAAATAAAGTAAGCTAGATGATTCCATATTGGATTTCTGATATGTTGGTGTACTTACCATTTGTACTAGACATTTATTGTGTCTAAAAAATTGTTTTCCATGCTATTTTACTTTGAAATGTTTTGTATTTTAGAGAACCAGTTCATATTTGGGTAATTAAAATCTCCTGTTATAAGAAGGCATCACAGTGTCCTGTCAAATAAAGATTTTGCGTATACGATCAATTTATTTATTACTTTTGCCGCTTGTAAGTTGTTATTTGATGGTCTATATATATACACCCAGCCAACACAAGTACAAGAAAATTTTTATTAAAGCAATCAAAACGGACAAAGATCGGCTTCATTCCGACAAGTCTGAGGACTTACTTTTTCTGAAGGATCAAATGGAAAAAATAAAAATGACACTTGGGTCTATTGACAAGCGTAGAGCCGAGATAGAACAGAAGAGAAATAGCAGGATTCAGAGTAAAGTTATAGCATCAACATGTTTTTGCGAAAAATCATTTGTTCAGTCTAGAGGTTTTAAAGTGTGCTTTACTGATGATGTACATCTACCTAAAACAATTTCTTTAGAGCCAAGTTCAGAGTCTGAATCAGAAAATAATTACATAGACTGTTCAATAAGGAGTTTTAAAAATCAAGAACAAACCATTGTTATCAACAGAGAAGTTATTAAAGAAACTATAAGAACAGCTATAAACATGGATATAACAGCTCATAAAATTACAGCAACTCTGATAGAACTTGCCATTGCAGCTGGAGGTAATCCAAATAAGTTGCACTTTTCTTATACATCAGCTTTTCAAATGAAAAACAATATTATTAACAAAGATGCTAAAAATATTAAGTTTTTGATAAAAAAAAGAGATCGAACAGGGTAAGGTGAAAATTCAGCTACACTTTGACGGAAAGTTAATCAAGGTTTGCATATATTTAATTTTAACTGGTGTTTTGAAAACAACTGTTTTTCTTACATTATTAATCTAATCCTAGTTCTAGAACTTGATATTAAATCACGGTGATGTAGCAATTGATAGGATTTGTGTTCTTATGAGAGCTGGAGGTACTGATCATCTACTTGGCGCTCCAAGAGTTCATTCTGGTACAGGGCTAAATCAGTTCAAGGCTATCAAAGAAATTTTGATAGAGTTTGAAATTGCTGATCACGTAAGGATGGTCTGCTTCGATACTATTGCTATCAATACTGGAATGATTCGTGGTGCTATATACAGGTGAACTGTTTTTCAATATAATTTAAAAAAAGAACTATGAAACGATGTTAGTAAACCATTGTTGATGCTTGCTTGTAGACATCATGTTTTAGAAGTCATATTAAAACATTATTGGTTAGCAGTTACCATAGACAAAACCACAGAACCTGACAACGCAATCTTTAAAGGCTTGAAAAGTAAGTGGAATGATATTGATGTGAAAAACTGTGTCATCACTCACTTCAAATGGCAATCTATTTATGATTCTTGGTTTAATGAACAAGCAGAAAAAGCAAGAAAATGTTTAATGACGATTGTGAATGAAGGAGTCTTCAAAAACTCAGGTAAACTTTTTCTAAACATTTAAATCTTCAAGTTTGAATACAAAAAAATAATGAATAAAGTTAAAAATCTCCATTAAACTTTTTTAGAGACACGACTACCAGGAACTGCTGAGCTAGCTCTCATGTTCTTGAAACCAACATTCAAGCCTCTCAACATACACAAGCCTGGAGCAGTACATCATGCTTGTTTTATGGCAAAGAGTATCTACTATCTAAAGATAATGCTTCTTCTTAATTCGACCAAGCAAATCCTAAAATTAAGCCAGGAGAAGATTAATGAGGTAAAAAAAGATGGCAATTTTTATTTCAATTTTCTATGCTCCTCAATTTCTGAGAGCTGAAAAATCAGATACAGCTGCAATCCAAGTTAGTTTTTTAGCCTTTGATACAAATAATCATAGTTAAATTTTAGCATTATTATTTGATAAAATAGTGTACCCAAATTGTATTAAAATTTTAACATTGCAGGACCAGCACTTTATCTGGCACAAGGCCCACTTGGAGAAGTTTGATGTAGCTGCAGCTTCAGTCTTCAAAAGGTGGGGAAAACACAGCTGGTACTTTGATTCCACTACTGTTATTTTTGCCCTATCCAATTCAGATCAGTCTGTGTCTGACATTACAAAGGAAGAAATGGCTAGAAAGCTAGAAGAGTATCCTCCAACAAACAAGTATGATTTTGAAAGAAAGAGCAATTCCGGTTTTATTCCACAAAAGACATAATTTCTCAAACTCACCAAGCCACCTTCACTCGTTAATTATGTAGGAGCTGAGTAATGGTTAGTGTTTGGTTTTTTTTTTTTTTTTTTTTTTAATTTTCTTCACTTCCAACAAGGCTGCAAGCAACTACTAATTAGAAGTTACTGGAAGGGAAAAGATGAAGATTGTAGAGCAAGATAACGATTGACAGACAACTTAAAAGATTGCAAATTGTATGAATCAGGAAAGCAAGATGAAGGAAGCGAATTCCAAAGAACTGATGTTCGAGGAAAAAAACTAGACAAATAAGAGTTTTTGGAGCACTTAGGAACAGTAACAGAAAAAGGATGAGACTTAATTGAATGACGAGTAACACGAGAATGAATTTTTATAGATGGTACAAGAGACGCTAGCTCTTTCGACCAGTGCCATTATAGTATTTGTAAAAAAGAGAAAGAGAAGCAACATTACGACGATGTGACAGAGGTTGAAGGTTGGCTGCAAGAACAGGTCCAACTATGTTTACAATGCGTTTTTGCACCTTGTCTAAAAGAAAAGGGCATCATTAGAAGATCCGCCCCAGATATGGCAACAGTATTCCATACAAGGCCGGATTTGAGATTTATAGAGATAGAGAATAGAATCCAGAGTAAGAAAGTGACGAGCTCGATAAAGAGAAGCAACTTTAGCAGATGCTAACTTTGCAACGGATTTGATATAAGGTTTCCAAGAAAGATCAGAAGTAAGAGTTAATCCTAGAAGATGAAGGGTAGGAGACTTTTTAACTATTTGTTAAAAGCTTGCCAGTTGTTAATGATGCAGCAGAGAGAGCCGTAAAAGCAATTCAGGAGGTTGTTTCACAGACATATGGTGAGAAGAAACTGCAGAAAATGTTAATAGTCAAGAATAAGATATAAAAACCAATTTCACGTACTAAAGCAGCATATAAAGAGGCAACCAAACAGTTAACACCTGCTGAAAAGCTAAGGCTTGCCTACGAATATGAATGTCTAGTTATCACTATCTAGTACTAGTGATTTTGACAGTAGCTCAGATATTGTTGATGAAGATGATGTGGTTGAGACTATAGAGGCTGAAAACAAGGTCTTCAATAATGCAGAAACCTAAATCTATATTTTAAGTTTATATTTTTTTCAACGCTATCATTTATTTTTCTGAAGCACAAAAGAAGGGGGGGGGGGAGGAGAGGAAAAGGTACGGGAAAAAATAATCCATACATGCCCCTCTCTGTTTGGGTAAAGAGACATCAATATTTTTTTATAATATGTTTTATTTTGTTAGCCATAAGAAGGTTGTACAAAACTCTTTAGATATATTAAGGCGGAGGTTATTTTTTATAAAAAAAGTAAATTATTTTTTATAAAAAAAGTTTTTTAGACGTTTTTATAATTATACTGTTTCAACTTAAATTTGAAAAAAAAAATTGTTTCTCCCCCTCCCCCCTGTCCATACTCTCACGGTTTCCCAAATCAAGTTGTAGCAAGGTGATACCATAAAGCTAGGGTGCCTATTTTTTTGCTCTAGACATAGTAAGCTAACAAATAAGTTGTATACATGTTTGTATGTATCAAATAAGTTGTATACATGTTTGTATGTATCAAATAAGTTGTATACATGTTTGTATGTATCAAATAAGATGTATACATGTTTGTATGTATCAAATAAGTTGTATACATGTTTGTATGTATCAAATAAGTTGTATACATGTTTGTATGTATCAAATAAGTTGTATACATGTTTGTATGTATCAAATAAGTTGTATACATGTTTGTATGTATCAAATAAGTTGTATACATGTTTGTATGTATCAAATAAGTTGTATACATGTTTGTATGTATCAAATAAGTTGTATACATGTTTGTATGTATCAAATAAGTTGTATACATGTTTGTATGTATCAAATAAGTTGTATACATGTTTGTATGTATCAAATAAGTTGTATACATGTTTGTATGTATCAAATAAGTTGTATACATGTTTGTATGTATCAAATAAGTTGTATACATGTTTGTATGTATCAAATAAGTTGTATACATGTTTGTATGTATCAAATAAGTTGTATACATGTTTGTATGTATCTTAGATCTCGAGAAGATTTCAATCTTGTAAAAAGTTACAAATTTTGAAAAACTTTGGTTGGGTGTAGCAAGGTAAATTTTTTTTTTGAAAAATCAAAATTTTATCTTAAAATCACTCACGATTACACATCTTTTTAGCTTGCATACATGTTCCAAAAAAAAAATTTGTAAAATTTGAACACCCCTAAGAAAGCCCTTAAAAAAATTTCTTTTTTATACTTAAGCCAGACAGTTGTCTGTCTTATCATAAAATTTATGATAAGTTGTTCTGCATATCCTAACTTATCATAAAAATTAACAAATAAGAAGTTAATTAAGTTGATCATACAAATTTCCAAGTAAGAAGTTAATCAAGTTTATCAAGTTAACTTTTGATTCGTCATTTGATTATGCAAAATCAATCGTTCAAAACATTAAAAAAATTTATTTTCTAATCACCTTAAGATATTTTTAGCGCATTATTGATTGTCATTAACAGTTAATGACAATCAATATTGCGCTAAAAATACGCAAATTCATTCATTCAAAGTTTTTCAAACTCAAAGTTTATTAAAAATTGAAAAATAACACGCAAATTAGAGCAAAGCATCATTCATTCAAAGTTTAATTGCAAAAATGTTTTTTTCTTCTGCGTTTACGCTATAAAAAAGGCTTTTCTAATATTAATGATTGAGTTTTTTTTTGGTTTCTGTAACTGAAAAGAAATGATAGTCTTTTTTTAAAAAAACAATACAAGAAATATTGGGAACTTTTAAGAAAACATTTATTGATTAAAACATTAACGCAAAAATATTTATTTAAAAAATAAACAAAATACTGTTTGTAATTGTAACTCTATATTTGTAATTTTAACTTTACTGTTTGTAATTTTAATACTTTTTATATTTATATACTTATATATTTATATTTATATTTTTATATTTATATACTTCTAAAACTTATTTTAGAAGTATATAAATGATATACCTCCACCATCTCTATTGCATTTGAACAAGTTATAGTTTAATAAGTTTGAGCAAGAAGTTGAATGAAACCATGTTTCCGTTATACATATTAGATGTGATTGATATTGTTCAATCAAAACTGAAAGTTCGTCTATTTTTTTCTGATTCAACAATGTTGCATTTGTGTACATACAGTTTAGTCTTATTTGTGTCAATTTTGATGAAGTTTGGTAAAATGTTTACTTTTGGGAATTTCTGTGGAGAGTATGGTTTCTTTATTTTGTTAGTTGTGATTTTTGTTACTTTGGACAGAAAATTGATAGAATTGATTCTGGGATTGTTGTTGATATGGTTGATGTTGATGATAATATTGCAAGCGGTTTCGTTGTTGGTGTGGTTTTTGATAAAACTGTGGTCTTTGTTGAGTGTTTTGATAATGTTGTTGTTTGCATTCTTGCTGATCAAGTTGTTCTTTTTCTCCAACCTAGTTGGAACAACCTATACATTGTTAATAATGTCTGTTTTTATTAAAGCTTGATGTATTTGATGTAATAGAGGTTGAACTTGGTGGTTGCTGGTGAAACTTTTTATTTGTTGTTGACTGTGTTATAAATTTTGTAATTTCCAGGCTTGGTTGGGAAGCGGGTGCGATCGCACTTGATAACTGACCACGGAAATAATATTTAGTTGCGATAAACCGGTCAGATTTTTAAGTCGTTTTGAGAACATTTAAGATTATGTATGTTTCCTTGTTTGTCCGCAAAATTAGAATTGAGTTTAAAATTTTTTTGTTTTACGGACTTACATAAACTTGAATGTTCTCAAACATGTTTGTGCGGAAAAATAAAAAAAACATATTCGCAAACACTAAAAACCCATCAAATCTACGAACAACTAATTCTATTGGTTCAAAAAATACACGCCGAAATTTCTAGAGTATTCAAAAAATTCTAACCAAATGTTCTAGAGTATTCTATTGAAATATTTTGAAAAATTGTATTATTGGAGTTATGTTTTCGTTGAGATTTCTAGCATAAATTTTTTTAAGAATATACTATAAAACGAACTTTTATTTTAATACTATGGCTCATTCTCGGAGCCACATCTACTTAGCTATAAATGTTTTAAACTAACATTTGTTTACAAAAATGAATGTTTTAAATTTATATTTTTTAACTTGTCAACGTTTTGTAAATACATTATAGATTTTATTAGTATATTCTTTATATGTAAGGGATGTATTTTTATATATGTAATGTATTTTTTATGTATATAGTTTTATGTATGTAATTTTATGTATGTGCATTTTATTCAAATGTAATCTTTTAAAGCAATTTGTGCAATTGATTTTGTACACAAAAATACTTTCAATAATAACTGCATTTTTAATGAAATTATTAATAATCATCAAAGTTAATACAAATAATTTTAACCACTAATCCATTTTCCTCAGTGTACCCGATAACCAGTTCTTTCCCCCAAGAAAGGGGGTAAAGAATTGGTTATCGGGTTATCAGTTGTTTCAGCCATTCTCACAAACTCGTTATACTTATAGGTAACTTGTTTCTGTTTTAAATACTCATTAAAATCATAATGCCCTTTCACTAAGCATCATCAGCGCTATTGTGAAGCAGTTCTGTTTCATCTCAACTAAGTAATTTAACATCTTAAATTAGTTTCTATCTAGCTAATTGAATTTCTACAGTAACTCAATGATTTAATTATTTCATTTGTTCATCTTACTAAAAAGAGTTAATTCAAATGTGTTAAATTTTTTAAACTACGCAAAGCATAAAACAGTTATTAAAAATTTTTTTTCATTTTTAAATTAAGCATCTAGCATTATTTTTATTGGTTGAATCTTGCTAGACTTTTCAGGGCCAGGAGCTGCATTATTTTGGTGGGCTTTTTTATGTGCCATAATGTAAAAATGACTAAAAAATACCGAATGGTCCTCTTGACTATTTTGTGGCCCCTAACATTGTGGGTCCCAGGGCAATAGCCCTACTACCCTCCCCCCACTTCCTCAATCCAGCACAGGAAATAAGATATAAGTATATAGATAAAAATGATATATACTTTTTCAGGCCTTGCGATAAAGAAAAAAAGCAAAAAAATGTCAAGCAAAAAAATTTTTGTTTGAGTATATTTAAAGATATTTTTGAGTGGAATTTTTATGAAGTAATTTACGGTTATTTTAACATTTAATAAAGTATTTTAAAAACCGCACGCAGTTGATATAAAAGTTTGAATTACAAAAAAATTAATATGCTCATTATTTAAAAGTAGAAAAAATTCAGATTAAAAAAAAAGTTTAATTTTTTTTAAGCTAACATTTTAATAAAATTATTCGACAATAGCAAAGTTGTCGATAAAATTGAACAAAAATACTTTCTTTTAGTTTTAGATTTCTAACTTAAATAATTATTTTACGGGGGTTTGTTAGGTTTTAAAATTATTCCATAAATTTATAAATATTTATTTACTGTTAGACGTATTTACTCTTAAAGTATTTAAGAGTAATTTCGTAGAAACATTTTAATAATTGGTAAATGCAAATAAAAAAAAAAAAAAAGGATTAATGTTAAAACATATTCTACTTGATTCAATAAAAAAGTACAGCTGTTAAAATTTTTGTAAAAAGTAACTCGAAAAAAATTACTTAAATAATAACAATTGCTTTTTTGTTAAAAGTTACCGAAACTCAACGAAGCGTGCTCAAGAACAGCTGCTGAAAAATAGAACGTCAATAGTTTTTCGAATAATTTTTAATAATAATTTTTTAAAAATAATTTTTTTGCTGAAATATGTCTTTTATACCTACAAGATTTTTATTCTAACATTTTATTTTATTTTACCAAAAATAAAATTCTTTGTAAACAATAAAAATCTATTCAAAACGTTCGTTAAAGTTTTTCAGTAATACGAGTAATTGTGCTTATCAACCGCTTTATAAAAATAAATAAAAATAAATAAAAAAAAAAAATATTATATAAAATCGCTAGTAAAAATATTAGCTATTGCACAGTTTTTAATCGTACAATATTAAAATTTCCAGTTTATTAATCGCTGACTTTTTAAAAAAAAAATAATTATTTGAAAAACTTTAAATTACTTATTTGAAAAAATCAAATATAAGCATGTTTTATAATCTTTTTTAAATGTTTAAGGCCGTTTTCCACAAGACGAAATATTTGTGCGAAGCAAATTTTTTCGCTATGAAGAAACGCTGTTTTGATTTCCACTTTCTTTTGCGCTTCTTTTTTTTCGTTGTCAACAATAAAAATGGCAGCATTAAGTTTACGCTGTACTTAACTACTTAACTATTTAACTAAAGACGGTTATTACTTTTTTAGCATACTTTCAACTTTGAAGCATGTGAAAATTTCTTTCCGTGCATTAATAATAACATTTCTGTTTTTATATGTAAGATGTGATATAATTTTGTAAAATAATCATTTAATATAAGTTTTTTTTTTACAAAAAATATTAAGAAGATAAATGCTAAACTCTGATATGATCATTTCTATTAAAAACTTTTACTACAAAAACGAACAGCAGGTTTAACTCTATTTAGGATCTTACACAAAAAGATTCTTCGTGTGGCCACTTAAAGATAAACACTCTTATGAAGTGTAACTTTAGTAATTGACAGTGTGAAAATTTATATTTGTAAACTCTCGATTTAGTTTTATATGAGTCTTGTCATTTTTTTATGTAAGTCTTGCTCCTTATTTGATGAATTTACTCATGCTTGCCAATTTTCAGAGTAAGTTCATATAAAATTAATAATAACGCCAGGTTAAGAATTTTGTTTTTTGTTACTTTAAAAACAACATGGTTTTGCTTTTTTTTACTGTTGACATCACGTGATATAATATTCAAAACTTGATTGGTTTTCGCTTATGACAATTCGCAAAAAGTCGAAATGAATCCGAATTTTTTTTTTGCTGCAGCAAAATGCTTTAGCAAAAAAAAAAAAAAATCAGAATAATTACCAAAAGTGTTTAATCTGCGCATGCTCATTGACGAAAAAATTCGCTTCGCGCAAATATTTTGTCTTGTGGAAAACGGCCTTTAATTATAATGTGTTTTATTTGTTTAGTAGACAAAACGCGTCAAACGTGG